AGTCATTGTGAATGAGTGGTTGGTTGGTTGGTTGGTTGGTTGGTTGGTTGGTTGGTTGGTTGGTTGGTTGAATAGTGAGCAAAACTGATACATCGAGCTGTTATGCCCTGGTGGCTCGTGAACTTAAATAAAATAAACTCCGGAACTCAAATAAACGCCGGGACCTCGATTAAGCGCCGCCGGTGTTTATTTGAACTCAGTGTTTATTTAGGACCCGGCGTTTAATCAAGAAAATACGGTACTAGTGAAAATGACAGCCGTCGTATTCCCATCTTTGTTTCACTTGAAAATTCCTTGTATTATTTGTTGCCAATTGGTATTTATTAGCAGATAAAAATGTTTTACTGTGAATTGGAGTATGCACAGTGCATGGCATTGAGTTTTACCCCACAGTTTGTTAAAACTGGGTTATGTGTCATGGAATAAATAAAAAGCAAATCGAATATTACAAAAAGGCGCCATGCATGTCTTTTTAACTATTTATATTTTTAATGGAGTCGATTGATACGTACGTATACAGGGACTTAGTTCTATCTGTACTCGGAAAGGCGCCTTGAAGGGATTGGAAGAAGGGGTTGGAGGATCTCCCACCCCTCTCTTAAAGGGGTTATTTGAGTCTAGAGAGATATAGAGACCCACGCCATTTGGAGACATGCTTTAAGAGCCCAATGCGTCTTGTGCCCGTCTTTATACTGGAGACATATAAGCAGACGAACTAAATTATTTGTAAATTATCATGGCGAACACATTAAACTAAACTAAACTAAACAAATGTTTGCCCAACTTCGTCGAGACGAACTATCTGCTTAGTTCGTCTTGGCAGAGGAACTACATAGATAGTTCGTCTGGACGGATAATCCGTCTGTTTGCCCGTATTTATACACAGGCGGATTATCAACTACCAGACGGAATACCACCGTACTGTAGTCACCTATTTGTGTCGACACGCAACGAAACGCGTGACGACACAAATAATGGCTGCGCAGGTGACTAACCGTACTGCTGGGTGTCCTGTGGTTTTGCCTGGTTAATCGTTAACATATAAAAACATTTGACAACTTGGCTCCACGTGCGATATGACTCGGCGATCTTGCTCTGTGTTTTGCTAAAAAATGCTGTGGTTTCCAGGGAGGAAAAGCTTACTAAGGTAAGAAATATTCGGTCAATTGGCTTTTACTTCTTAGATGATGCCACATTTGCGTTGTAAACAGACTTCCAATGTATAATTCCGTGATCAACATATCGGAACCGTCTAAGCAGAGTGGGTCAAATTTCAAAAAATATACTTGTCTCAAATCTCCCTTCATAGCTTAGCACTGCGCGAGTACACAACTCCAAATTCAAGAATCTAGTTTCCTCTACTTAAAAAAACATAACAGAAAAGTAAAACTGATGCGTATTTCGACGAAGGAATCGATTTTAAGAGCTACCGTTTGTTGATTTCCCTTTGTCACGCAAGGTCAACGGGTCGCTCATATTGCTCAAGTGACCTGTTTTGAAAACGCTCCTCTCAGAATTTTCCGTTTTATTTACCCCAATTTTTTTTCGCCTGATGTTTTAGTTGAAATGATTGTTGTTCCTCAGAGTATAGTCTCGTTGGGTAAATCCATGTACCAGATTGCTTTTTTGAGCCTTGAATTTAGCCAAAATTCGGTTGTTGTAACGAAGGTTGAAGGGTGTAAATTTAAAAAATTTTGTCAAAAATTCAGGTTTACGTTTAATTTAAAATTTTACACCGCTAATAACCTGTGGAAATAACAGATTTTGACTCCATGGGTTAATCTTTTCGAAAAGGCTTTCAATATTTAAACGGGAGCTTTCGCAAAAAGTATCGATTTCAGCGTGAATTTAGCCTGCCTCCAAGCACAAAACACAAAAAAATTCACTAAAAAAATAAATAACATTCTAAACGACCCGAAACTTATATTTTTAGAAACTAGTTCACCGAGGACTTTATTCTGGCAAAGTTTGGGGAAAACGCTTTTTCTATCTTGCATCCCTTAGTCAGTCCTTACAGCAACCGCTCTAAACTGAGAGTTCGTAATCTCCTTTATCTTTAATACGTCTAACAGAGCGAATAAACTCTGCGATATACTTGTCCAGTTCTTCTGGTGGCATAGTGTACAACTCTCGCTCGTCGTGTTTTCGTTTCTCAATTCTTTCAACAATTTTACGGCCCGCTTCGATTTTCTTTTGTGTTCTTGTTCTCCAGACTTTCGATGTAATCTTCCCCGAAGAATTGTAGGCAGCAAACTGCCTTTCACTCATGTTTTTAGAGAAATGTAAGCTTAAACATAAATGCTGAAATTCTATAATTTTAACTGGCGAAGAACGTGTGTCGATGTGTGCAAAACGCTGCCAATCAGCCTTGAATGAAACATCAACTTGTTACGGCTCACACGTCAAAAAACATGATACGCTGCACCTGATTGGAGGTATCATTTTTCTCACACGTGAAAAAAGCGATACGCGTCATTTGATTGCTTACACCAGCTTGCGAATGAAAATTTACTTTGTGGCTTTCCAGTGAGTAAATCTCTGTATGTATATAATAAATCATGGATCTTGCTGACAATGCTGTCAACCAGCTTTCTAGAGTATCCAGTGGCCAAATCTAGTCCTGTCAGTAATTTTTCGTGTGGCATATTTTGTGCTAAATCTGCCCGGTAACCCATTAGGCGACAATGTAAATGGGTCTGCCATCTTCTTGAAATTTCAGTGCTGATTGCCAAGTCTGATGCTTTATCTTCAGTATCATTTAATGATATGAGGTGAGCTTCAATTGGAGATTGATAGTCATTAGAAGAACAAGACTCTGGGCATACACACTGTTCCAGGCTGCATGTACAAAGACAATGGCAGGATCCTGCACATATGTCACAACAGGAGCGTTTGACATCATTGCACTGAGGACTTGAACAGAAAGGTTTGAGCAGCATTATGCACCGACATTCTTCATTGTTCTTCACATACTCCTTCATTTCCTTGCTTATATTTCTGCTTTGTGTACAGCCTTTAAACCTCAACAGTACAGCATGGCTCATGGTCTCTGATGATCATCCAATTCGACCTGACTCTTGCAGATAATCATCCAGACCAGATGATGGCCCCAGGTGAATTCCAATATATGCACCTTTAACATTAACCCACATGCCAAATGCAATTGTGCAGAACACAACCCAGACAGTGCCATTTTCCTTGCAAAATTCAGTCTCTATAGTCCTTTTCACAAATTTGTGAATCTTCTTGTGATACATGGCAAATAAGCATGTCCGATCATCAATTGTTTCTTGCCCAGTTGGTAATGGTAATGACATTTATATAGCGCATTTTCTATATAGTATATCCAAATGCGCTTTACAATTCAACCCAGGGGTGAGATCGGACGTCAGCTTGTAAAGGCGCCTATGGCAGCCGCTATCAGTCCATTCATGATCTCACTCCACCCACCCAACCCATGAATACATGTGAACAGGCCAGACCACAACACCGGGGACTACGTCCCCTACTCTTTTCGAACAGTGATGTGGGTTCTTTAATGTCCCCTACTAATTTGGTATGAAGAGATGTAGGAGACAAGGCCAACGGCTTAACGTCACTGCCCAATGATGCGATCATCTGAACTGAGACAAGGTATTGAGCACAGCCAGCATGATCTTACCAGTTATTTTAAGACCCTGGTTGTTGGTCCGGCGGGGATTTGAACCCGCGACCTCCCACTCTGCAGTCTGGCGCCCAACCAACTGAGCTAACCAGTTGGTCTGTGGTAGGCCTTTGGACCAAGGCATTGAGTGAATAGTTCAAACAGTTCCTTGACATGTTCTTTTTTGCGACAGAAAACAAGAACTTTGGTTGCATTAATCTGATTTACTTCAATATCATTTATGATCACACTGGAACTGCCATACAAGTCACTAGAGTCACTATCCACTACAGTATATCGGACATTTGTCTTGTTGGGATCTCCCAGTATCTCAACACATCCATTCATACCCAGATCCTTTATAATTGTCTTTTGAACAGACTCGGTGGTAGTAGCAGTCAGGGTTATAAAGGGTACATGAACCGGTGAACCAAGGATCGTAGTTCTCCTAGTCGGCTATAATCCTTTCTAGAGGCTTCTTCAGATTTACTGCCCACCCCCCTGCAATGTAAGCAAATTAAGTCAAAAACGTAGGGAGCAACTTCGAAGGTAAAGCTTTTCCCCGATCCTGTTGGTGCCGATAGAAACAAGTTCTTTGCACTGCAGTAACCCTCGATTACTTTACACTGATGTTTGCAAGCAACCTCATATTTTGTTTTCCGTAATCCATATGCGATTGCGTTCTTGACTGAATGCATACTTGCTGTGTAGAAATGATATCAGAATGTACTCACCACTCACGACGAGGATCCATGAAATTTACGCGAATTTTATGCTGGTTAGGATCCGTCTTGATTGACGTGTACTTTGACAACACTGTTTCTGATTGGATAATATCACAGTTGGAAAATTCCTCCTGTAAATTTGGTGTGCTGCAAGTGATAAAAGTCATTAGTGCCGGGGCCTACTCCCAACCGGAACCGAGAAGCGAACGACTTTGAGAAAGTCTAGGAAAAACCTGAAATTTGAACTAAGTGCCCCTGCTTCTTAATTGAGGAAATACAGTAATCTGAATGTCAGATTTACATGTTATTAGACAAAATTATATTTAAAATGGCACTTTATTTTACTACTCAAGCGTTTTTGTTTGCGAGCCATTTAATGGGCAAGCAAAATATAATTGATGAGTAAACATAAAGCACCAGATAATAAAGAAAATCATTAACCATTGATTTCACTGTTTCGCGATCATTTTCAATCATTCATGTCACACCTCATATGAAAGGTGTTTCTCGCGTTAAAATCAAACACTTACACGTATGATTGCCAGAAATCATTTGTAAACCGCTCAGAGGAGTTTTGATTTCAAATGTTGCGTACCATTGAAATCGATGGTACTATAGCATGTATTACGGGAGATGCGGTGGCCTAATGGTTAGCGTGTTGGACTCCGGATCGAGTGATCCGGGTTCAAGGCCTGGCTGGGATCATTGTGCTGTTTTCTTGGGCAAGACACTTTATAGCCTGCGTGGTAGAAAGGGGAGGGAGGGGAATTCGGTGAGCGCAAAGCACGATCATGGGAGGGAGTACGGGAACGCCTGCAACCACGCTATTGTTTTTGCCATTCCACCCCTAATTAATTAATTTTGACAGTTTTCACGCGTACTTGATTTTAAATATGCAGGATATCTTTGAAATCATTCTTGTCTTTCGCTATGACAGAAATACTTCTTAACATAATAAACACATGTATAGAAAGACGGGGTTGGAAGTAGCCGAGTAAAGGTTTATAATTTTCACGTGAAAGCGAAAGTTTCCAATAATAAGACGTCCCGTCGGTCACGTCCTAAAATTCAACAGACATTCCGACTTCCGTCACGCATTGAATACAGTGTATTGCAAGTCTTCACTTTCCGTGAATGAAAACTTCTGAAGAAAAGTGGGATGATTTTCTCATGATATTTTCTCCGAAGAACTAATTGGCGAAAGGTTTGTCTTTGACTGACTCTTTGAGACATTCAGACGAGAGTCTTGACCGGCGTGACAAACCCGAATAACTTTCTTTCCCAGCATGATGTTATAAGTACATGTTTTGCTTTCGATACAGCTGTACTTTAGTTGTGGAAGATCATGTGGCGTGACCCTTTCCTCTGCTCCACTTTTAATTCAAGGTTAAAGCCATTTTCTTCCAATAAAGAAAGTGATTCCCATACAATTCAAGCAGCTCAAAGCGATCATCTCTCGATTGATTTATCCATCCGGTTGGCAGTTGCATGTAAATTGATAACAACCTGGAATCATTCAAATACTTAAATGACATATAACTGACCAATCAGAACAACCGATTAACTACTTTATTGGCATTTCATTAATTCTGGGCAATCACGATTTTTGCGTCCAGAATGTGGACGTAAAAAACGAAAAAAAACAATAGCGTGGTTGCAGGCATTCCTGTAATCCCTCCCGCCGATCACGCTCTCTCCTCACGCTTTGCGCTCGAACTCCCCTCCTCCCTCCCCTTTATACACCTGCCACGCGTGCTAGACACTTTACTCTCACAGTGCCTCTCTCCACCCAGGAGTATAAATGGGTACCGGCAACAAAATGCTGGATGGTAACCTGCGATGGACTAGCATCCCATCTAGGTGAGTAGCAATACTCCTAGTCGGCTTCATGCTACAGAACCCAGGATAAGTTTGGCCAGAGTGAACTTTATTTTAGGGGATGCCAAGGGCATCCCCTAGTTATTTTCACGATGCGTGTGTATTTCCCACGGGAGTAACCAAATTGGCTGTTGACCAATAAGGACGGCAGATATCGGTCCCTTGAGAGTTCTGAAAACCAGTTTCGAAAAGCTGGAGAGACGTTGTGGGACATTATCACAATCAGTTTTCTTTTTAAGAAAGAAGATTGTTCGTGTTGTGTGCAAACCTTCGCTTCCTTTGTGACGTGGATGAAATTTGTCAAAATTTTTGCTGGGGCTTTTATTTTCAGGTAGGTTGTGTTTGTTGCCTTTTTTCTTTGCACTTCTTATCAAGCAAGGTTACCAACTAAAGGTGTATTTTTCTTCTACTAAAGGCAAATTATCAGGAATTTGTGTCTATGGTGAATAACTCAGTACCAAAACGTTCGCTTTGATTAGTGGCTATTTCATGTCCCTTCGTACAATGTTTTAAATTATTGAGCGGACATTAACCAGCATCTCTTTATTTTCATGTAAACACGAGAGAAGACGTGGCAAATAATTGCATGTATTGTCATTTTTTAGACTAAGTAGGTTTTTCACTGTTAGTACCGTGTTGATATTTTGTGATGCAAGTTGGCTTTACATGTTGTCTTCTACGGAGAAACAGTTGCGAAAATGAGATTTTCATCCGAAAACGAAGTTTCTACTCGTGCAATGAAGAATCCATTGAACAATTTTCCCAATGATTGTTGAAAGGTTTTTGTTTGACTTTTGACGGAACTGAAAATACAGCGGCGCGCTGTATATTCATTCACTTCTGTCTTAACCGGTGAAAAAATTAAAAACCGTTCTTTGAAACAAGAATGATATATTTTTTGTAGACTTTTCTGATTTATTTAATTAGTAATAATTGTACAATCAATGCTTCGTATCACCTTGCAAGCAAGGACAGCCCAAAACGCTACTAGGATGGAATATATGGAAAATATACACAAGTAGTTAAGGTGGCTTACTACAGGCTTACTACAGTTAGCGCATCATTTCAATCTGTAACCTTTATACTGCCTCAGCTTTTTTGGACTTGGTGGATTTTGGGGGGGAGGGGTCAAACCCTCCCTGTATCTCAAAATGCTATTCAACCTACCTTGCATTATGATGTCATATGTATAAAAAATCTACCATCTTGGATCAGCTATCTTGGATTTCTAAATATTTATTTCTAAATTTCTAAACATGCAAGAAAATCTTCATTAAAACCGAAAGTACATAATGTAATGCTAACAAAACTGTAAATTTGGCTAGAACAGCCTATCAAAACCTGGTTGCCATGCAAACAACAAGTGACAGAGACAAAACTCGTTATATAAACAGCTAAATTCGTAGAGACAAAACTCGCTGTGACAAACTAATTCGACGAGACAAACGTCCTACAACAACTATCTATAAACTCGGCGAGACAAACTGGCAAAAGAAACTGGACTCCATCGGAGCACGGGACAAACTCGCAAAAAACAACTGATCTCGGTACAAGAAACTAGCAATAGCAACTAAACTCAGCGTAACAAACTCGCAATAACAACTGAACTTGGTTCAACAAACTCGCAATTAAAACTGAACTCGGCGCGACTCGCAATAACAACTGAACTTGGCGCGACAAACTCCAACAACTAAACTCGGCGTCGCAATAACAACTGAACTCGACGCAACAAAACTCGCACTAACAACTTCTGAACTAGGTGCGACAAACTCGCAATAACAACTGAACTAGACGCGACAAAACTCGCAATAACAACTGAACTTGGTGCGACAAACTCGCATTTAGAACTGCAGTTGGCGCAACAAACTCGCAATAACAACTGAACTCGGCAAGACAAAACTCGCAATGTGTGGTTCCAGAAAATATCCATACCCCCCCCCACGGAAGACAACTGGAAATTCCGAGGGGGTGGGGGGTTAAAGGCCCAGGAATTCGAAGGAGAGGGGGGGTTCACGCAGAGCTTGTTTTCCAGAGGGTTCCCTTCTGAACAAAACACAACAAATTCGTAAGAAATACTTACGTACTTTGTCTCTATTTTCGAGGAATGAAACCAAGCCAAATCAAACATTCTGGCCATTGAAATAAACCAAAACATCTTGTTCTTTCATGTATCTTTTATTTTCTGAGTTTACCACCTCTCTAAATGAGAAAAATGTCTCTTGAAGTTGCAAGCACGAACTGAACCGAACGGGATCAAAATGGCCGACCAAAACTCCTTCCCCCCCCTGGACATTGTTTCTTGGAAAGCCAGTTGCTCAGCTTTGTTACGAACACGAACGATTTTCGAATATTTTCCTTCGTCGTGCAAGCGCTAAGCAATGGCAAAGTGTCTTGAAAACAAAACATAATCAGACTTCAAGACAAGTAAGTTAAATTTTTGATTGGAAAGAAGATATTCTTTCTTTCTTGGATTAAATTTGTGATTCACGTTCATTGTTTGTTCTTTCTGTAAACTCTGTTAGCCGTGTGCGTGTTGATGAAAGCGATCGGATTGTAACGTATATTTTGCGTAACTGAGTCTTCATTTTTTTAGGTACAAAACCTTTTGGAATTTCCGAGGGGGGGAGGGGTCCATGTTAAAAATACTGGAAATTCCTGGGGGGAGGGGGGTCATCAAAGACCCCTTGGAACGGAAATTCCTGAGGGGTGGGGGGGTGAAAACCAAAATGTCTTCCGTGGGGGGGTATGGATATTTTCTGGAACCACACAATATAAACAACTGAACTACGCGTAACAAACACAAAATAACAACTGTACTCGGCGCGAGAAACACGCAATAATTCAACTAAACTTGGCGAGACAACTCGCAATAACAGCTCAGTGAATTCAGCGAGACAAGCTCTGCCATTCAACAACTCAATTCGGCGAGACAACTGACTCGCGAGAAACAAAACTCAGCGAGACAACTCGCAATAACTGAACTCAGTGAGACAAACTCAGCCATTCAACAACTAAACTTGGCGAGACAAACTCGCAGGTACCAACTAAAACTCGGCGTGACAAACTCGCAATAACAGCTCAGTGAACTCAGCGAGACAAGCTCTGCCATTCAACAAATAAATTCGACGAGACAACTGACTCGCGAGAAACAAAACTCGGCGAGGCAAAACTCGCAAAAGCAATAATACCAACAAAACAAGACAGTGAAATTTTGAACAAACTAGTTACCCGCTAGAAAGACAACCTGTTCTTGATGTGACGGAAGAAGGACGGTCTGCGCTCGACCGCAGAATGGATTCTCGAAAGCCAAAGCATTGTACTGTGCCGGAGCACGTTGGTCGCCTTGAGCAGCTTGAACAGGAGCAGTTGGGACGGCAATAACTTCTAGAAGTAAAGCATTATCAATGGTAACGGTAACTTGCACTGTCATGAAACTTGGTGGAGAGGGCAGCAATGAACTAGAACAGAAACAAACGAAGCAAAGTGACGGTCGTCCTGTCGAAAAGACTGAGCGAGTTATGGCGTGAGGTGTGGACTTAAATACTGAACATGGGATATTAGGTTATGTAACACATCCCAACGGACCACATACTGCACGTCGAATATCTAATCAGGAATATGGAGGCATTATAGGCGGGTTCCCCAGAGAGAATAGAGGCAATATTTGGGTTTAGTCAAATTTACTAAGGTGAATATAAAGAATCTGCTTAGCTGATTGGTCGAAAAATTCGGGATCTGATGTTTTATATCCACCTTGCGTTGAGGTGGCTATAAGCGGCAGGAAATCAAGATGGCAGCTAGCCGATTTGCTGTTGTTACGGAGGAGG